TTATGGTACATGGGCATCATTTCTAGTTTTCCAATGATTTACTTTTTTAACATTCATATACCACTTAATATGTGGATTAACCCCAATAAAAATCCTATTTTCTGGAGAAACGGAAACATTTAAGGTCTCAAACCTATTTAGTATTCATACTATGGCGGTGTATGATGCATATATGCATTAAAACAAAAATACCATATTTTATAATTTATTTTGAAATATGTGGGATAACCCCTACGAAAAAGCTGAATTTTCCGTTAAATACTATATATACTATTTACCATCTTTTGTGTTGTTTAAAAAATACCTAAACGCACTCCAAATTTTTATATATGTTTGCTAAAACTATCTTTATGGTACATGTGAATCATTTCAAATTTTTTAATAATTTATTTATTTAACATTCATATACCACTTAATATGTGGATTAACCCCAATAAAAATTTTATTTTCTGGAGAAACGGAAACATTTAAAGTCTCAAACCTATTTAATATTCATACTATGTTGGTGTATGATGCATCTATGCGTTAAAAGAAAATTTCCATTTTTTATAATTTTTTTTGAAAGATGTGGCCTAACCCTTAAATACTATATATACTATTTATCATCTTTCGTGTTGTTTAAAAATATCTAAACGCACTCCAAATTTTTATATATGTTTGCTAAACTTATCTTTATCGTACATGGGAATCATTTCTAATTTTCCAATGATTAACCTCTACAAAAAGATCGAGTTTTCCGATAAATGTTATATATAGGTCTCTTTATTTTTTTAAAAAAAAATGAATAACCTCATTAATAATGTACTAAACTTATTTTCATGGTACATGAACATCAGTTCTAATTTTTAACCGAGAAATTTAATAAAATTCCATATACCACCAAAATCAATGAATTAAACCTTATATAATCTCTATTTTCTAGAGAAATTTGGAAAACTAAGGTATCAATACTCTTTTATATTCATCATATATTAGTGTTGGATGCAACTACGCATAATACAAAAATTCTATATTTTCTATTTATTCTAGAAATCTGTGGTCTAACTCTTATGAAAAATTAAGTCTTTTTCCTATAAATGATATTTGTAGTTAAGTTTAGCCTCTTTTGTATTATCTAAAACATTTAGCCACATTAAAAATTTATACTAATGTATCCTAAATTTATTTTCATGGTACGTGGACATCAGTTATAATTTTCCTACGAGTAGTTTAATAAAATTTCAAATACCACGTAAATCAAAGAACTAAAAACGCTATGGAATCTTTATATTCTAGAGATATTGGGACAACAAAGTTGTCAAACATCCTTAATCTTCATCATATATCTATGATGTATTCATCTATGTTGCCTATGAAATACCTAATCACATTATAAATTTATATTAATGTGTCTTCAACTTATTTTTATGGTACATGGACAACGTTTATAATATTTTAAAAATTAATTTAATAAAATTTTATATTCTACCTAATTCAGTGGACTAACCCCCATAAAATCTGTAAATTTTGTAGACATGGGAACAAATAAGGTATCAGACCTCTTTAATTTTCATCGCTGTAATATCATTACGAAGTTATGCACTAAAACAAAATATCATATTTTCTAGTTTATCTTATGAAAAAAATCAAGTTTTATTTCCAAGTAATGCTATATATACTAAAATTTAGCTTCATTAATGTTTTTAGATACCTAACCACACTCTAATGTATATTAATGTATACTAAACATATTTTCATGGTACATAGACATCATTTCTAGTTTTGCAATGAGTAATTGTTTTTAACTTCATATACGACCTAATTAGTGTACTAAACCCTATAAAGTCTTTATTTCTAGAGAAATGAGAACACTTATGCTACTGAATGATGCAGGAATTGATTAAACAAAAATAGCATTCTTTCTAAATTATCTTGAAATATGTGGATTAACCATTACAAAAAGATTGAGTTTTCCGATTAATGATATATATAGGCCTCTTTAATTTTCTTAAAAAATGTCAACCTCATTCAAAGTTTATATTAATGTACTAAACTTATGTTCATGGTACATGGGCATTAGTTCTAATTTTTAACCGAGAAATTTAATAAAATTTTATATACCATAAATATCAATGAACTAAACCCTGTAAAATCTCTATTTTCTAGAGAAATTTGGACAACTAATTATGAATACTCTTTGATATTCATCATATATTAGTGTTGGATGCAACTACCCATAAATACAAAAATTCTAAATGTAGTGCTTTTGAGTAATGTAATTGATTCATCATATATCTTTGTAATTATGGTTCCGTTGCCGCGCTTTGACGCAAAAAAAAAAAAAGGAATCAACTTTGATCTTCTTCATCACTTGTTGTACAGTTTTCGAAGTGGAAATGAGTTCTCTTGGATTCAGAGTGGAGATGATTTTAGGAGCTATTATTCTTCGATTTGTCCCGGTAACTTTCTCGTTTTGTGAATTCTTTTACTCCATTGATTTGACTCTAAATGTAATGCTTTTGAGTAATGTAATTGACATGTTGGTTCAGTTCCTGACACTGAAAGAGCGTTTATTCAGGTTTACATGAAAGCTACAACGCCAACACACATTGTAACACCCCAACCGCCCACGGCTAATGGGCCACCCACGCCCGCTCTCTCGGCCCGTGGGCCCCATCCCGTTCCAACGGTCGGTCCGTTAATTTTTCAAGGCTCTACAGTCATGTTTACTGACCCTGCAATCACCACCGGACCTTTCCCCGTGCTTTGGGCTCACTTACACGGTATCGCAAATCACTTCCCGATAGGTCACCCATCCTTTGACTACTCTACCTCAAGCACGCTTAACTCTGGAGTTCTCTTTGGATGTGCTCCCGAAAAGGTAAGTACACTTTGGTGACATAGGTAGCCAAATCAATTCTCTTAAGCCTTTTCCAAATACCACAAACCGGGATGTTACAATTCACCCCCTCTCAAAGAACGCAACGTCCTCGTTGCGCCCCCGACAGGTCTCAAGACGCCTCTCAGGTCAGAACTGAGATGGCTAACCAGCTCTGATACCACTTGTAACGCCCCAACCGCCCACGGCTAATGGGCCACCCACGCCCGCTCTCTCGGCCCGTGGGTCCCATCCCGTTCCAATGGTCGGTCCGTTAATTTTTCAAGGCTCTAGAGTCATGTTTACTGACCCTGCAATCACCACCGGACATTTTCCCGTGCTTTGGCCTCACTTACACGGTATCGCAAATCACTTTCCGATAGGTCACCCATCCTTTGACTACTCTACCTCAAGCACGTTTAACTCTGGAGTTCTCTTTGGATGTGCTCCCGAAAAGGTAAGTACACTTTGGTGACATAGGTAGCCAAATCAATTCTTTTAAGCCTTTTCCAAATACCGCAAACCGGGATGTTACACACATTTGCTTCGACCTACAACGGTAATTAGTAATTCATGTTGTTTTGTTAGTGACAAACTTTGGTCTGATCATAGTCATGATTCCTTTTGTTTCTTAGCTTGCAGTCTGTTTTTGTTTAGTAGTGATAAAAGATATGCTATGACGCAAGTAAAGGCTCCACGTCAGCTACAGAAAACGGCGTGCTAAAGTAACTCAATAAGGACGGATTATTTGAAGCTGTACTGAGTTCTAAAGATCTTTTCTATCTTTAGAAATTTGAAGCATATGATTCTAAAGGCAGTGTAGTAGCTGGAGACAAGAAAAAAGAGGTAAAGCATACTTTGATTCATTTCTTTCTCTTCACTTTTCAATAGGGACACCAAGGGGTATGTATGATTGTTTTGGAAATTCAAGAACCTTTCCTTCCTGCAAGTGAACTTACAAGTTTGTTGCTTGTGCAGGTATTTGTACGTGACAAATGTGTCTTTGAGAAGTCTTTATTCCATGCAGGAACTTGCTGGCGACTCTGTGGCCGGATTGAACTTCCATCGAAGGATAAAATCCAACCTGCCCTCTGATTTTTTTGCTAGTCAGTATTCTCTATACAAATTGGCTTTCTTGTACTTTTCTCTTGCAATCTAAGCCTGAATGTTATCTGATTAGGCCCTAGAGTTGCAAGGTAAATCATTATTAAAGTTCAAAGACATCAGAAAAGAAAGAAACCAGTTTTCTGTTTTTTTTTTTTTGTAGTTACATTAACAGAGAAAGGTTTTGTTTGTTGTTTGTATCGCTTACATTTTATCTCTTTTACTACAAGTGTAACATACTGACTTTTAAGTAGTGGGACCTTTTAATAGATAAGACTTGTGTTGTGATGTGGAGGAAAACAAAAAGACAGATTTTCTTATATCCAAAATGTCCCCATACACTTCTATTTTATTTTGCTTGCATCATTGCTTAGCTTATACCTCCAAATTCAATTTGTATACGACTAGGAATCCTGCAGATAAGAAGACAAATTTCAACTAACTACTGACCAGACTTATCTAGTACCTACCTAACCACTACATGAAAAAAAGATGTTTTAAATGTTGCCAAAACCAGTAGTTCTTTTGTAGAAGTTGTTGGGGAACAGAATTTTCTTGAGTTTATTATTATTTAAATAAATGGACAGTGTTGAAAAGAATCTCTAACGTGCAAATTTTATTATACTATTTTTCATCAACATTTTCATTTTATTATACTAACACTTTAAAATACTTTCAATATACATAAATAAACAACCTTATAAAATACTCAATTCATTTTTTTAAAAATGTAAAAGTTTTCACACATGTTAGATAAATTTTGATATAAATAAATTATTTTTTTGTAATTGACTATTTCTCATAATTTTTATCCAATTAAAATTTTAGTAAACTCAATTATTTTTTTTTCAAAATTCTCAATTTATCTTTTATTACCTGATAAAAATATATTGAAAAGTATATATTTTTAGAATAAATTTTTATAATCATCTTAAAAATGAAGGAAATAATTTTCTTAACTTGAATAAATTAGTAACAGAATTTGTTCTCAGATTGATTTATTTAACAGATTGAAAGAGATCTGAGAATATCAAAAAGACAATAATTATATTATTCCTGAGGAATAAAAAAAAAGAGAGAAAAAAGTCATAGTGATCTTTGTTTTGACGGAAGATGTGATCTCATCTTCCAAAAAGCTTACGGTTGCAAATGGTCGGTGGCTGCTCTTCTCTGTCTTCTTCCACTTTCATTACCACTACTACTTTGTCTTCTTCCCTTAATCTCATTCCAAGAAGCTTCCTTTCCCATAGCCCTTTAAATCTGAGAAAGTCTGCACCTTTAAGGTGTGTAAGCTCACTAACGATGAAACCACAGAAACCCATTCTCGATTCTGAGAAGTTTGACGATGGGTTTGTTCAGAAACTGGTGTACGATGCTCTCGTTTGGTCTTCACTTCATGGCCTTGTTGTCGGTGACAAAACTTATCAGGTTAGAGTTTCTGTCTTTTGATGTTTTGATCAGACGGAAAGGAGTTTGGTCTTTGTGTTCCGACAAAGTTTGAGGCAAAGATCAAAACTTTGAATCTATATGAGTCGTTGTCGTTTTATTGATCATGCTCATTGCCATAGTTGATCTGAATTAAGCTTAGAGTTAGAGATCAGTTGTTATAGATGGTTTTGATGTTCTTATTAGACAGAACAGAGTGTGTTCCGACAAAGTTTGAGTCAAAGATCAAATTTTTGAGTGGTAAAAAGAGTTTTTGAGTTGAATAAATTTAACATTCATTCAAAAAAAGAATATCATTCTTTTTTTAATATCTATGAGTAGTTTGTAGTTGATTGATTGATCATTGTCGTCTTCTTGATCATGCTCATTATTATGATTGCTCTGAATCAAGCTTACAGATAGTTTTGATAAGAGTTTTTGATTACAGAAATCAGGAACAGTTCCAGGGGTTGGGATGATGCACGCTCCCATTGCATTGCTACCGACACCATTCCCTGAAAGTTACTGGAACCAAGCTTGTGAAGTTGCTCCCATCTTCAATGAGTTGGTTGATCGTATCAGCTTGGATGGACAATTCATACAAGACTGTCTCTCCAGGTTTAGCATTTTGCATTTAAAAGTAAGTCTTGTCTTTGTACAAACTCGTCTATTAACAACTATGCATCTTTTGATTGATAGAACGAAAAAAGCTGATGTCTTTACATCTAGACTTCTTGACATTCACTCCAAGATGCTAGAAAGCAACAAGAGAGAGGACATTCGTTTGGGTTTACACCGGTCAGATTATATGCTTGATGAAGAAACAAAATCACTTCTTCAGATAGAGATGAATACTATTTCGTGTTCCTTTCCAGGCTTTGGTCGTCTTGTTACCGAGCTACACCAGTATGTCCATCTTATGATTGCATCATAACAAAATTTAGGTACAATGTTACATTATTTTCTTACTTCTTTCGTTTGTTTACAGGTCATTGCTTAGATCTTATGGAGATCATCTTGGGCTAGACTCTGAACGTGTACCAAGAAATGGATCCACGACCCAGTTTGCTGACGCAATGGCTAGAGCTTGGTTGGAGTACAATAATCCAAGGTTAGTTTCAAGCAACGAACACGTTTTTAACTGTGATTGTTTTCAAAGGTTTTTATATTTAAAGATATAACTTTTTGTTTGCTTCAGAGCGGTAGTTATGGCCGTTGTGCAGCCTGAAGAACGCAACATGTATGATCAACATTGGCTAAGCAGTGTCTTAAGAGAAAAATATCCTCTTTTAATCAACTTAAAGACTTTTTAATACTTATGTTTGTACCGTCAAAAACGGTGTTGTGTTAGTTATTTTCTTCCTTAACTTCAAAACACGCATAATATTGTAACCATTAGGAAGAGTTTAGCAGAAGTTGAAAAGGAAGGGCGTGTACATGAGGATGGAACACTTACTGTGTAAGTAGTTACATGCGTTGCTGTTTCTAAAGTCATTATTCCTTGAAAACTATGTTTACATAGTCTTTGTTGTGTGGCAGTGGCGGCCAAGCAGTCTCTGTGGTTTATTACAGATCAGGCTATACTCCCAGAGATTATCCTTCTGAGTCAGTAAGTAACTTATCTTCTTTCCCATCTTGTGGCTTGACTTTTTTTTGTTAAGAAAGTTCTGAATTGAAGATTGTGATTTTTTTGAAGGAGTGGAATGCTAGGTTGCTTATAGAGCAGTCCTCAGCTGTCAAGTGCCCTTCTATAGCTTATCACTTAGCTGGCACCAAAAAAATTCAGCAAGAACTCGCTAAACCAGGTGTTCTCGAGAGGTTTATGGACAACAAAGATGACATAGCTAAGCTGAGGAAATGCTTTGCTGGGCTATGGAGCTTGGACGATCAAGAAATCATCAAGAAAGCAATTGAGAAACCTGAGTTGTTTGTTATGAAGCCTCAAAGAGAAGGAGGAGGTTATAATCCAATTGAGTTTCTGCTTTTTTTTCTGTCTTATTTCTAAGCGTGGATGATTCTCTTTCAGGTAACAACATCTATGGAGATGATGTGAGGGAGAATCTTCTGAGGTTGCAGAGAGAAGGAGAGGAAGAGAACGCTGCGTATATCTTAATGCAGAGGATCTTCCCAAAAGTGTCAAACGTGTTCTTGCTGCGAGAAGGCGTTTACCATAAAGATCAAGCTATATCAGAACTTGGAGTCTATGGAGCTTACCTCAGGTATATAGTAGAAAGAAGAACGACTTTGATATTCTTTACATTTAATCGCTTACTTGAATAATCTTTGAGCAAATGAAACTGTGTAGGAACAAGGAGAGAGTTATAATAAACGAGCAGAGTGGTTATCTGATGCGCACAAAGGTCTCTTCATCAGATGAAGGTGGTGTTGCTGCTGGTTATGCTGTCTTGGACAGCATTTATTTGAATTGAGATCATTATGATTCATGTTTGTTCTGTTTTATATCATTTATCTTTTGTTTCTTTTTGGTTTTGTTAAAGATTTGTGTATTTATTCATGAAGACAAGGGCCCTGTTCGTTTGTACATCTGAAAGATGCATCCAGATGGTCCATCTAGATGTCTTATCCAGATGCTCCATCTGGATGTTGTTCGTTTCTCTATTTCGTCTATATATCTAGATGAATCATCTAAATGTAACTATGTTCGTTTGTTTTTTTTAACTTGCATCTGCGTCCATATGGATTTGTTAATAAAATGAATAAAAGAAATTTGTGTTTATATTTTTAGCGGGAAAATGCATTTTTACGATTTTGATGAAAAATGAGTTTTTCCAGTTTTGCCGGAAAAATTAACGTTTACGATTTTGACATGAAAATGTGTTTTTACAGTTTTAGCGGGAATTTTTTTTTGCAATTTTGGCGGGAAAACGCGTTTTTGCAGTTTTGGCGGGAAAATACGTTTTTATGGTTTTGGCGTGAAAATGTGTTTTTGCGGTTTTGACGGGAAAACGCGTTTTTGCAGTTTTGGCGGGAAAATGCATTTTTACGGTTTTGGTAGAAAATGCGTTTTATAGTTTTGGCGGGAAAACGTGTTTTATGTGTTTTGGCGGGAAAACACGTTTTTACGGTTTTGGCGAGAAAACACGTTTTTGCAGTTTTGGCGGGAAAATACGTTTTTATGGTTTTGGCGTGAAAATGTGTTTTTGCGGTTTTGACGAGAAAACGCGTTTTTGCGGTTTTGGCGGGAAAATACATTTTTACGGTTTTGGTAGAAAATGTGTTTTATAGTTTTGGCGAGAAAACGTGTTTTATGTGTTTTAGCGGGAAACACACATTTTTACGGTTTTGGCGTGAAAATGCGTTTTTGTGGTTTTGGCAACAAAATGCATTTTTGGCGGGAATATGTATTTTTGCGGTTTTGGCGAGAAAGTGTATTTTTACGATTTTGGTGGAAAATACATTTTTCGGTTTTTACGATTTTGGCGAAAAAATATTTTTTGGTTTTTACGGAAAGATATATTTGCAAAAAAAATTAGTATTTATGGTTTGAAAAAATATATTTATTTTAAAAGGTTATTTTTGTCATTTATGATTTTGGACTGAACAAGATGCATCTGCATCCAGATGCACCATCAAGACTCACCCTCATTTGGGTGAGAATTTGAGATGAGTTTTTAAAAAATCAGTTGGGTGATCCATCTAAATGTAGCATTTTAATGTACAAAACGAACATTAATTTACATCTTCACCCAGATGGATCACCTGGGTGAGCAAACGAACAGCACCAAGATAGAAAGCTCTTTACAATTATTTGAACAAGTCTCATATAAATGATTTCTTCTACAATTCTTCCTAAACTTTGTTAGATGGTCTATGTTTATAGAGTTCAGGCCATGAATGGATTTCAAGAAACATAGATCCAAGGTTCCTTCTGATAGTTACAATGTCTTAAGTGAAATATTGTTTGTAAACTAGTTTATAGTTTATACTTATGTTTCCTCTTCATACTAGTTTACAAACATAAACACACAAATACTTCATTATTATAACCATAAAATGTTGTATTTCCAACATTTCCGAGTTAACTTTTTAACAGATATATTCGATCAAAATTTCATAAAAATATCCTAACTAAATTTTGTAAAGCTTTTTAATATCCAATTTTGTCACTATCTAGTTTAATATCTCAACTAATTATTTTGTTCAATTTAATATACAAACATTTAAAATTATGCTCATTTCAATACAAAATTTTTGTTTATTTTAATTAAAAATATTAATAAATTTCAAACAAAATTTTAAAAAATCAAAATCTAAGAAAAATACCAAAAAATTTCTAATTTTGTTTTAAGATTTAGGAAAGAAGGTAAATAAATTAGGGATAGATTTTAAATTCTAAAAACTTAATTTTGAAGGAAAAATAAATATTTGTTTTCTATTTCAGAAAATAAACTAAATTCAATATTAACTAGTTAAAAATTTCATTACAAATTTTAAGACTGCATAGTTTAGTTACTTTTCTTTCTCAAACTTAAAGTAAAATTAGAATTTTCTGAAATTTTTTTGGAAAATTTTGGAGATTTTTTAAAATGCGTTTGAAGTTTTTTAATATTTTTAAATAAAATAAACAAATTTTGGGTATTGATATAATTTTAAAATTTTGTGTATTAAAAAAAAATTATTTGGGATATTAAAATCGGAGCTAACAAATTTAGACATTGAAAAGATTAACGAAATTTAATTGATGTTTTTTATGGAATTTTCCCTATAATTAAAGAGGACACATCCATGGAGGTAAAAATACATAAAATACAGGGCTGTAAAAATTATCATGGCCCGATCAAATTGAGATTGCCTCATACAATGTCGTTTTGTACTGAAGGAGGCAAACATTACGAACATCTGAATAGTTACGGTAACCAATGCTATACCAAAGTCGTTTTATCCAGAACCAATGGTTGATATTCGCTGCTGCTAATAACCAAAAAAAAAAAGTCTCAAACTTTGAGTCCCATTTGATGAATACTTCATCCGAATCAAGTATCAGTTTTACAGAACGATCATTTGTTGCTGAATGGTTATGTTGTTTCATAGTGTGGGACTAACTCAATGTCCACAGAAGTATATAGTCTTCCCTAGGGGTTATTACAGACGCATAGTTGTTGGTTCATCTGAAACAGCGTTGTTAAAAAGAAGACAAGTGTTGGAGAAAGTGGATTCTGAGTTGTCTAGTGGAGACGAGAGAGCTGCTTTGTCACTTATCAAAGATCTGCAAGGTAAACCTGGTGGCCTTCGATGTTTTGGAGCAGCAAGGCAGGTATGTGTTGAATAGGTTTAGCTTTTGGATCTTTTGATCCCTTGGAATAATACATCATTTAGGTTTCTGAAGCTTCTGTTCTGTGGTTGTGTGTTTCTAGGTGCCTCAGAGACTCTACACATTAGATGAACTGAAACTCAATGGCATCAATGCAGCTTCACTACTGTCGCCAACAGATGCAACACTTGGTTCCATTGAAAGGAACCTTCAGATAGCCGGTGTCTCAGGAGGGATAGTTGCTTGGAGAGCATTTGACCTGAGCTCTCAACAGCTGTTCTATATCTCTCTTGGTCTTTTGTTCCTGTGGACTTTGGATTTGGTAACTCTAAATCAAAATCTCTGAGTTCAGATGGAAACACACTCACACACTTGTGTCTCTACATATACTCTTTAATGATGGAACCACTCTTTAACTCTAGGTCTCGTTTAATGGTGGAATTGGGAGTTTGGTTCTTGACACAATTGGTCACACGTTCAGTCAAAGATACCACAACAGAGTTGTTCAAGTAAGACCTATCAACATACAATTCGCTCTACTTTTATCAATCAGTTTCCATTGAACTGAGAATCTTCTATAATGCAGCATGAAGCAGGTCATTTCTTGGTGGCCTACTTAGTCGGTATCCTCCCACGAGGATACACACTCTCAAGTCTTGAAGCTTTACAGAAAGAAGGATCTCTCAACATTCAAGCTGGCTCAGCCTTTGTAGACTTTGAGTTCCTTGAAGAAGTAAACACATAACCTCTCTCTCTCTTTCTTCTTTCTCATTCAAAAACCCAAGCTTTTAATACTTTGTTTCTCAACCTGAAAAAACGCAGGTTAATGCTGGCAAAGTCTCAGCCACAGTATGTGTTTTCTTTTGCTTTTCATAGTTATATACTTTTTTGAACTTCACATCCCTCTAACAAAAAACGAGTTTTGTTAACCAGATGCTGAACAGATTCTCATGCATTGCACTTGCTGGTGTAGCTACTGAGTATCTCCTCTATGGCTATGCTGAAGGTGGTCTTGATGACATTAGCAAGGTCTCATTTCTCTAAACCCAACTCTTCTGATCATAAAGATATGTAAGTTAACATGCTAAATGGTATTTTGATGGAAACAGTTAGATGGTTTGGTGAAGAGTTTGGGATTCACACAGAAGAAAGCAGACTCACAAGTGAGATGGTCAGTCCTCAACACTATACTCCTACTACGTCGCCACGAGGTAGCTAGATCCAACCTTGCAGAAGCTATGTCCAAAGGAGAATCTGTTGGCTCTTGTATCCAAATCATTGAAGATTCTATTGACCCTTCTGATATCTAGAAAACACACACAATGTCTTACTTCTGTTGACATAATGTAAATTAAGCACTTTTGGGTTTTTATACAGACAACATTTCATTAAGACATAAAAAAAAGTAGTCTTGCAATAGTGTTTTTAAAGATTCGATAATGATCTCTACAAAATTAATAAAAAAGTAACCTTTATCCCCAAAAATTCAAAACCCTAGATTATTGGAGAAAATTTCTCTAGAGAAAAGGATAAAAAGATTTAAACTTTCTGATTCGAATCCACGAATAGATCAAAACCCATATCTTAGATTTTTTGATTTCTCGGAGAAAGTGGACGAATTCGATGGAGGTACAATGGGTATTGGTGTGTCATGGTATGGTGACGTTAACGGTGGTTGTCTCTTTCCTCTGTGGCCATTCGCCTATCTTCAAAGGCACACCCGTTGGATGGATTCACTACTTCCTCACTTTCGGCGCTTGGGATTACTTACTGTAACTTTTGAAAACCTCTGTTTTTTTTTTTTGCACTGTGACTAACTTTTCTGTCGGTTAGTGATTCGTGTTGTGTTGTTTTTGATGTAGGAGGTTTGTTGAGTTTGTGTTTGGTTCCAAGGGTACAGACGCGGTTCTGTCGGTTGAGAGTTTCTGCTGTGATCGGCCTAATCCTTTCTTGCAAGTTAGTACTTTTGTCTTTTTGTTGCTTTGATTTGGTTTATTAGTGAGCACATTGAAAGCTATTGTTTTTGGATTATGAACGGTTGAGTAATCCAAGTAGCTAATTCATTGGTGAAGATTTGATTTTGATCTGTGATTCAAGAAAAATGTATTTGAGCTCATAGCCCTGAACTAGTCTTGTCAGCTATATGGGGAATGCAAGTTTTAGATTTTAAGCTTGGAAACATAGCTTACTGTTGAATGGTGAAGATTTGATTTTGATTTTGATTTTGATTTGTGATTCTTGAGTTCTTAGCTATGAACTAGTCTTGTGAGCTATTGGGATAGCAAGTTTGAGATTTTTAAGCTTAAAAAAATAGCTACCTGTAAATGGCATGTTGAGGATTATTATCATACGTTAAGAGATATTTGTAAATCCTTATCGGTTATAGTTATTGTGTCTTATATGTTGTTTCACATATTGCAGATCATATATTTGTTGCTTCTTGGATCAACATACTTTATAACTGTGAAATCTTCTTTTGTCTATATACCTGGGTATTACATTGGCGAAGTTCATAAGTAAGACATGGTTTCTCTTTAGTATCTTTATAAAACTCAGTATGAATGATAACACCTTAAAAATCATTTAAGTTTATTTTTTTCTTGTAGGTATATGAGCTTTGGGGCTGTTATTATTGGTGTCCTGCTTTTTCTATTGACAAGCTTTTGTGATCCAGGGACTGTGAACGCTAAGAACGTTTCACAGTACATTTCTGTTTACCCTTATGATGATATTATATACTCGGAGAAAGAATGTCCAACGTGTAAAATTCCAAAGTGAGTGCATTCAAAACCCTCTAGGCTCTCTTTCTTTGAGTTTGTTCGAGTTATGATGTCTCTTGACAATTTGTTTGTCATTTCAGACCAGCTAGATCCAAGCATTGCAGCATCTGCAACCGTTGTGTGGCGCGGTTTGATCATCATTGTGGGTGGATGGTTTGTACAACAACCCAAAGCTCTTTATGAATCTCTACTTGTTGATAATGTGATTGATACTAAGCTTCCTGTTACAGAATAACTGTATTGGCGAAAAGAATACTAAATATTTCATGGCGTTTCTCTTATGGTGAGCTCTCGTTCTAATACTTAACCAGCTTTAAATTGTATACCACTTGGTAATGGTTTATATTTCTTAAACTTAAATGGTTCTTTAGTGTTTTGTAGGCATTTTCTTCTCTGTCTCTATGGAGCTGTAGCCATTGGGTTTATTCTTGCTGGACGAGTAAAAGAACTTCGCATTGTACATATTTTAACCAGTAAGTATCATACCAGACCCTTGTCTTCAACTAGTATCTTAATGCTTTTGTTATCTGAAGCTGTGGAATATGGATTCTCTCTTTACAGGCTATTACGGGATAGAGAACACTTTCCGCAGCTTAGCTCCACGTGTTTTACAGGTAAGTATCAACTAAACAGATCCTAATCTTCGTCTCTTTTGCTGCCCACGTAGAGAGTAATCAAATGACCTGTCTGGTTTGTCTTTGAACAGTGGCTAGTTGGTACATACAACACCCAGATACTTCTATTGGTTTTTTTTTTCCTTGTTTCTCTCCTCCTTGCTGGCTTCTTCGCTTATCACCTCAATCTCTGCTTAACCAACACAACAACTAATGAGGTTAAATAAAAACTTCTCATATCTTGGCACATAGTCAACACTCTCTGATATCTTCCTTAACGGGTTTTGTTTGCTTGATGACAGAAATTCAAATGGAGAGAGTACACAAGTTTGCAGAAGAAGATAAGCGAAGCAAAGGCAAGTGCTGCTGCTCTCAAGGCAAGCATGGCCAACGCTGAGTTGGAACGTCCAGCAATGAGTAAATGGAGGGGACTTTGGAGAAGATCTGAGGCCAAAGCGGAGGCAATCGTTGCCAAACGGAATATGTATGATAAAGGAAACTTCCGGAACATATCTGAGATTGTTTACCCGTTGTCTTCAAGACAAGCTTTCCAGAAACCATATCATAAATCTGAATAGCTTTTAGTCTGTATATGTATTGAGAGATAGGTCCCAGTTACACATCTACTCAATCAAAGTTTATTGAAATTATTGTTCGTTTACCTACAGCTTTAACAATCAGAGTTTCTTATCATTCTCTCATAATATTCCCTTCTCAACCTGTTTCACATGCTTCTAGCATTGCCTTGATCAGAGTATTTATAGCCAAAAGTGTCAACATCCATAGTTTCCAACCATAAATTATTTATTCTCTAGTTTATGATTGATTGATTATTTGTTTCAGTTACCTCTCTTTGATCTCCTTCTCAATCATTAAATCTCACTTGATTTATTTAACTCGATCAAACGTTTATCTCTCTTGGTTAGATTATATATTCAGTAACTTCTTCAGGTTTTTAATTTAGCATCACACTAGAGTGAATCTATAGTTATATTATTCCAAGAGGTCCAAAGTTTAATATGTAATCTTAAGAGTATGATTAGTAGACATGGGCATATAAATTGAGAATCAAAATCAAACAGAAAAAAATCAAATCCAAAATTGGATCGATGTTAACAAGTATCTAAACCGTTGCTATATTTTTGGAATTCGAAAAATAAAACCGAACAAAATTTGAACCGAAAATCAAATGAGTATCAGCATATCTACTAATTAGCATTATATATGTTTAAGAGTAACATATAATTATATATAGTTCTCTGCTGATGAAATCAATATTGAAATAACAAAAATATATAATCTCGGCATTCACTAGATTTAGCCTTGTCATTGCTATTTGATGCACCAATCTTCTTCAACCTCTCTTGGATTACGTTCACACCTTACGTCTCTCTTTCCTCAAAAGAAAGGTTTTGTTGCTTCTATTTCTTACATTTGATCTCTTCTACTTCAAAGGTTATTTGTGGATTCTTTATGATCAGACAACAAGTGTCGCCTAAGTGAGACCTTTTAAAAGATATAAGTTGTGTTGTGTTGTGGATTTCTTTTACAAATCATATACTTGAGTTAGTTACACATGTTTTGTGTCTCTTTCTTCTTACTAACCGGTTGTGATTTGGTTTAGGTCTGAGATGGAAATTGCTAAAGAACCTCTAGATAGAATTGAGGCACAAAAGTCAGTAGATGTTATTCATCACGAAGGGAAACTTCGATGCCTCCTGAAGAACTTAGTAAGCAAATTCTTAGGCAACCTTCTTCCACGAGGTTATCTTGAACAAGGGACACCGGCCAGAAAAAAAAAAAAGGACACTTGCAAGAACACAAAGAAATGCTTCAACCTCCCATCATACACAAGCTCCAAGACTCAAAGCTTATGTCTACTTCGAATTCCAATACTCCTCGCGGAATTGGATTGGCAGCCCCAGATGCATATTGCAAATGGGCGAGCTGGTGGTAGGAACCATTTCGTGTAGAATTTGATCACAACGTCCTTACTTATATCATTTGCTTCTTTCATTATTTGTTAATCCAATATTATACACAAAACTACATTATATAATAAAAATGATTTGCTTTTGATTTAATGATGGATCTTATCCTCTACATATGGTAGTAGAAAATAGTCATATGGACGTTGTCAGAGAGATTCTAAAATGTTGTTCATTTTCAAAGCACATGCTCAACAAAAAAGGCCAGAACATTTTTCATGTTACAACCAATATATCAAATTTAAATTTTATAATTCATTTGATTAAGTATAAAGAAACAAATAATTTGGATAACGAGCAAGATTTGAATGGGGACACAAATCTGCATCTAGCCATCTTGTTTTTTTATCTTTTCTAATATTTTGCTTGAATTTTGTTTTTTTTTTTTTTGTTTTTTTGCTTATTTATTATTGAGTATTTGCATCCCATATACAAACTAAACCCCTAAATTAATTATCTACCCTTTTTCTCTCTTATCTCTCCTTCCCCCCTTCTCAATATTTTTCCCCCAAAACCATGGTATATTGCTAATATCCAAGTTCTTTATGTATTTTCAGCCAATTCACCCTTTATTATTTAGTTTTTGTGTGCATTTTTGAACAAAATAATAGATAACATTCATAAGTTCCATCATTAAAAAGAGGTGTTTTGGTAACATACTGTTTAAACATAACGATGTCGTTCTCACTAGATGATTATTTGTTTGATTATTTGTATGATTTCTTATTTCTTAATCATTTATTCCACACAAAATTAAATAAGAAAATAAACAAAAAATGATTCCATCATTTGATTTAATGATTATATCTCATTAGATAGATGGTTAATACAACATTTATAACGTTTGATTATTTGTTCAATTAATCATTTGTTAATTCAATATTCCACACAAAATAAATAATAAAATAAAAATAAATTAATTTTGATCATTTGATTTAATGCTTTCATCTCATTAGATGAATAAGGAATCCAACATTCATAAAATTTGATTATTTGTTTGATTTATTATTTGTAATCTAATAATTCACAGAAAATTAAATAATAAAATAAACAAAAATAATTTCGTTATTTGATTTAATGATTCCATCTCATTAGATTAATAGTTAATCCAACATAATATGTTAGATTGATTATTTGTTAATCCAATATTCCACACACAACTAAATAAGAAATAATAAAAAATGATTTCATCTCATTAAATACATGGTTAACCTAATAGTCATAACGTTTGATTATTTTGTTCGATTGATTATTTATCAATTCAATATTCCATAGAAAACTAAATAATAAAATAAGTAAAAATTGATTTCATCACTTGAGTTAATAATTTCATCTCTGTAGATAAATGGTTAATCAAACATTCATAATGTTGGACTATTGATTTGATTGATTATTTATCAATTCAATATTCCATACAAAACTAAATATTAAAATAAATAACAAATGATTTCATCATTTGATTTAATGATTTTATCTCATTAAATGAATGATTAATCCAACGTTAATAACGTTAGATTATTTGTTAATTAAATGTTCTACACAAAACTAAATAATAAAATAAACACAAAATGATTCATCATTTGATTTAATGATTCCATCTCAATGTATGGATAATCCAATATTCATAATGTTATTAGTTCGATTGATTATTTGTTAATTAAATACTCCATAAAAGTTAAATAATAAAATAAGTAAAAAATGATTCCATCATTTTGGTTAATCCAACATTTATAAAGTTAGATTATTTATTTGATTGATTATTTGTTTCAGTAACTTATTTTTTATTTGTGTCAGTAACCTTTCTTGATCTTTTTCTCAATGATTTCATCTCATTTGATTATTTGATTAAAAAAAAAAAAAAATCTTCCCTCTTGGTTAAATAACCCCTATATTATATCCAGTCTCTTCTTCATGTTTTTAATTTAGCATCACATTCTAAACTAGACAAGATTAACAAAAAAAAAAAAAAAGACTTGAGCTTCTTTGAGTTAAAGATCAACAAGTGCTTTAGAATCAAGCTCCCACCATTCGTAGTCTCCACATCTCTCACGTCTGAACGCTGGAACCTGATGTGAGAATCTATTCACTTCCGTCTTTGGAATGTCTACAGAACCCGCCACTGTCTCCACACACCTACTATAGAGAAGCTTGTTACACACTTTAGCAGTCAATACCACCACTTGTGTTCTCTGCTCGTTGGTCTCAACTACTTCTACCATCTCAAGTTCTTCTTCAGTTTCAGCACAATCTGTAGTGTTCCAGTTCTTGTACAGAGCCCATATCTCTCCTTTTCCTGGGTATACTTCGTATCTGTTTATACCTTTCTTCACAGCTTTAATCTGATGTGAGAAGCTGCTAGGTTCAAGGACATCTGCTTTACCTGTTTTCAACTTAAAAGTGCCACAGCACACAGGATGTGTCATGAGCTTTGGAGGACGACACAGCTCTAGAGGTGCTACATGTAGCTTGAATTCAGGACTTGTGTCGATTCTCTTAACCTGACCATACTTTCTGGGCAACCCTTTGTCGGTAATGCTGTAAATAGCCCATATTTGATCAACCTGAAACTTGTCTTTTGATCTTTGGTTCTCAAAGTTATAAGTGTTTGCTTGCCTGGTTGTGCAATTCGATGGCCCATGAGTCTCTGAAACTGAGGATTTTTCAGCACCATTCAATAAACCATTACCTCTGGCCTGAGACAATGACTCATCATTTCTCCCACGCTTCTTTGAGTTCCCTGTGGATTTGTGTGTTTTCCTGATTCTTGGGGAATCAGCTGCAGTCACGACCTTTGCAGGTTTCTTTGGTGTAGTCATTGTCTCAACAGAAATATAAAACACATCATGGTTAGCACTCTTCTTCTCATCTTCTTCTTGGCTTGGACTTGAAGTTGCTTGATTGTTTGTTTCACTCCGAACACGAGAGGATTTTCGCAGGTTCAAGCCATCCACTGCTTTGACACTCTTCTTGGACTTCTTCACTGAGTTCATGTCATGATTGCCATTGAATTTTTGACGTTTCCTTGCCTGCACTTCAACCTTGGGAACCTCAGGAATAGAGCCACCAATTTTACCATTCGGCCTTTCTCCATCCAGACCAACATAAGCTTCAGAATAAGCAACCTCGAACATCTCTTTTGGTAACGCAGCAGTGTCTAATTCGAAGCACCCAGGAGGAACACCTTCTCTCTCACTTCCAGTCAATTTGAATGAGGGGACTTTGTGAGAAAATCTTAGCATCTCTTTCGGTAAAATATGAAGTTGGAGAACTCCATACATTACATCTCGCTGAAACAGAGAAACAAAACCTTCCACTTTTCCCAAGTAAGCCACTCTAAGGCCATCCACATCATCAAAATCACACAGAACTTCAACAAAGTCATATTCATAAGTTCCTTTATGATTTTCTGAGCTACCAATCCAACTGCTATCCCAGCCTCTGAAAACTGCCCAAACTTCTCCTCTTCTTGGATACAAGACGGTGTTATTATCACCAGGTACATGAAGCATCTGACAAGAGAATATCAAGTGGTCGTCTACTTCCTCTGACTCCCTTTCTTGGAAAACTCCACAAGCAATGGGAACAGAGTTATCATTATTATTATCCTCTAAGGGGTCAAGCCACGTAATACACACCTTGAACTCAGCATCCATCACCTTTTTGATCCGAGCATAAAACCTTGGCATGCCATCACTGGGATCATACAGAGACCAAACCTGGTTGACAGCAAAACAGCTTGTTGCCACTTCAAAATTATGAAAGTCTGGATCAGGTGAATCCTGCGTAACAGGCTTGTGGTTATTGTCAATCTTTCCTGCAATACCCATTCCTTCTCCATGTTCTTTATTTCCTTCACTCTTTTTGTCTTCCGTAGACAAGCTTTCTTGATATACAGAATCCACTCTTTTACTAGACTTTCCATTAGAAACACATGAAGGCGCAGAAGAACCACCAGAATCAAGAGGTTTGGAGGATCCAACACCTAACTTTTGTTTTTTGGTACCTCGCTCAGATTTTAATTTAACATTTGATCTTGACCTCTTTGTGGGAGGACCATCACTTCCTCCCTTCTCTCCGCAAGAAATATGTTGCCTATTCCTTGGAGATGTCCTCCTATTAGTATCCTTTGAATCTGCTTTATCCTCAGGCAGCTCCTCAACGATCTCTCTCCTCTTTCTTTTGCCCTTGGTCACTGAGGATGCTTGACTAGACCTTGAAACTGATTCATCAGGTATAGATTTTGATGCAATCTTTTCTGATTCTGTAACCTCAGGTTGCGGCTTCAAACCATCAGCTTTAGGTAGATCAGCTGTCTTGTTCATCTTCCCCTCACCTTCCTCGGGTTTCATAGATTCAGTATCATTCCTCATCGATCCATCCTCTGTTTTAGGTTTCCTTACTTCATTATTTTTCTCACTTCCTCCATTCTTCTCGTTGAATTTCTCTTTGGCAGATTCTTTCCTATCAACCTCAGCTGCTACACTTTCTGGTTGAACACCATTAGACTCACCGTTATTACTCACAGGTGTGTTACAAGGCCCCTGATCTTGAACTTCTTTTTGACTAGTGCAGGGCTTAGGCGGCACTCCATTAAGTCCAGTGTCGTAGGCCATGAATGATCTCTGACACTTGGAACAATACATGTTGGAGTTCACATACTGTTCCAAGTACTTATACCTAAACCCACAATGCTCACAACAAGTCCAAAACGTAGCCCTCTTAACACTACTGCCACTAGCACTGTTTCCATTCAACTGTCTACTAGCAACCTGTGAATTGATTCTACTCTTGATATCATACTGACTCCGTTTCACCTTATCAGCAAGCAATCTATTAGCTTCCCCAACCAACTTGAAAGCAGACTCAGCACCAGGGAACTGGTTTTTATCAGGATGGAGAAGCAAGGCGAGATTCCTGTACTGCTTCTTGATCATAACATCGTCTGAAAAATGCATAACCTGAAGAATACCATACCAGTTCTCAAGACCGTTGATTTTATTAACCGCAGCGCAGTGGACATCACACACTGCTAACATTTGAGGTAAGCTTTCAAGACCTGAGAAGAGTCTTTGAGCTTTCATCAAAAGCTTCTGAGCCTTGGGGAAATCACCTCTCTGCATCATACTCTCTGCCATGGCCTTTGCCCTAGAGGCTTCTTCCTTGTTACAGTCCATTATAAGCCAAAATAATCAGCTAAAATCTCAGAGATCAGATCAAACGTAAGGGTGCCAATATCTTATTCTGCAAACAAAAAGTTCATAGCAGTGTCAATTCCTGAATCCTAATCTGCCATCACAAAAAAAAAAAAAAAATAGAGACTGTGAAGACAGAACTCAACTTACCATATAAAGAGACAAGATCTGAGAGATCTTTAAACAATGTACTCCACCCTCAATCAGATTAAAAAGTCTATGGACCTGTAATAAAAAACTCAGTAAGTAAGAAGAAAAGCATTAACTCATGTCTGGTTTAATTGCAATGTCTGAAAATTTTAAAATAAAGTTTTGATTTTTTTAGTTGAATGCAGAATTACACAGAAGAACACACCAATAGAATCAAATCTCAGATTGAAAGCTAAAACCTTTTTGCATTCGACGATAACACAAAACGACAAAATTGTAAAAACCGATATTCCAGTGATATGCAAACTAAAAACCCATAAGCTTAAAATACCTAACAGATGGAAGCTTGAAGCTCGAAAGACAGATTGCTCAGGAGAATGAAAAGAATAAAAATACCCTAAAAATTTCGAGTGAAGAGAAGAAATCGAGATAACGAGAGAGGGAACTTAAGACGGAGAAGTTTTAAAGGTCATCGCTCTCTGTTTTCTCTTTAATGGAAATAAATCAATTTTTCCTATTTACTTCATTAAGTTTACTTTACTTTTTTTTTTTGACAGGGTTATACGACTTTTATAAAAAGATTTGATTTGATTGTTGTTATGAAACTCTAGTTTTGGTAGTAAAAATCAAAACCAAGTTTTAGAATTTATATTAGATAAGAATAATAATTTTAATTATATTGTTGAATGACAACAGAATATAATAGTTCTTTTGTTAGATTTTATATATATTACAAAGTTAATAAATTTTTAAGCAATAATAAATTTAGTCAGATCTTTTCAATTGACTCAAAAATAATAGATCATTTCTTTTAGGGACAATTAGCTGGAAAGACCAAAATGATTACAAAAAGTTATGGGTTGTATTCAAATAAATTTTGAAGTGACTTGTATTATAATGACAAAATTGCTATTATTCAAACATGAACTCCAAAAAATTAATTAAAATACAGTATTATTAAACTTGACATTTCATAATGTACTACGAAATCTATTATTATAAAAAATCTTTTAAATTGTGAATATGGGAGACATGAATCAATATGAATTTAAAGTGGTTTTATTTTTAAATTAGATGATTCTAAGCGAATTCGAGTATTTCATGCAATTTTATTTTAAATTAGATAATTCTAGGTGAATTCGAATATTTGATGCGATTTTGTTAAATCATTATAAAATCTTATCAAAAATCATGAAATTTGACTATACAATCTATTTTTTATAATTAAGAAACTATTTTCAAACATTCTAGCAATACTTAAATCACTCTAAACTCTACAATTTAATTTTTGTTCAGTAATAGTTCATTTTGAGTACTTTATGAAATGAAAAATTCGTAACACTGAATTTTAAAGCGTTTTTTTTAAATTCACATTTCAATAAATGAATTTGTCATTTTAATACAAAACACTTCAAGTTCCTAATTGAATACATCCTAAAGTTTCTGATGATTTTAGAATGTTCGGATGAAAATTTTTAGTTGCAATTAAAAATTATATAATCTTGGTATTTAGATGAATTTTAGAGTAATTTAACAAAAATCATATTGATATCTCTATTTCATTATATTAATATCTCAATTTCATTTAAAATCATCTAATATAAAATAAATAAATCACTTCCTCATGATTAGTACATGAAATGTGTGATTAGAAAGTTCTGATGCAATGACTAATACGTAAAATGTCTGTTTAGAAGATACAATGATTAGTACATGAAATGTCTGATTAGAAAGTTCAGTTGCAAACACCATAAAGAAAGCACACACGACGCTATAATATACTTAGAAATGATTCTTGTGATAAGGATCGTACTGTTGATAAAACTGGTGATATTGAGGAGGTCCCTCCTGTTGCGTCCACTGGTTATGATTGTAGTCAGAGTTGAACCCTCTGCTGTAATCATCAACAGGCCAAGCCAGTCTTTGATTCAGAGAATATCGATGCTCAAGGAAGTGGTTGCTTGCGTGTGAAGCAACATGTACTGAGCTCTGGCTGCGTTTTTGTCCTCTTGAAGAACCCGGTTTGCTCGCAGAGGAGGAAACATCTGTAGTTGAATGTCCCAAACGTGTGTTGCTGCTGCTTACAGAACCAACCTCTGCTAATAAACTTGGTGGTTCTGCGGTACCAGATACGTTTCTTCTAAGCTTCAAAAGTGACTTTATCCTCTCCTCTAGGTCTCCAAGTTGGAACTCTGATTCTAGTTTGTGACACGTTATGCATCTAATGCCGGCTCTTAAGGATCTTATCTGCCTGTCTATGGCTGCAACCTGAAAAGTCTGCGCTGTGTTACAACAACATCACTCTCTTTTGAGTTGTAAGAACAATAAAAAGGACATGAATCTTTACCTGTGATGCAGGTTCATTCTCAGCATCTTTAAACGCCTTCTCTGCTGCCTCTTTTGTAATCCGCAAGGAGTCGTTTATAATAGCAGAAACAGGATGGAACTTATGGACCATACCAAATGAGTAAATGTAGTTAACTGCCTTGAAACGATGGCCAGTCTTTATGAGATTTTCAATGAAACCTGTTTTCACAAAGTTAAACACTATGCTTAGAGAGTGTCACAATGGTGGGAGAGAGAGTAAAGAACAAGGAATCATCATCACCTGTAATGGCGTTGTCTAAACCAAGAAACTGGCAAAGATCAGGACATATAGTTTGCCAATAAGAATTTTCCAGTAGAGTTAGAAGGTCACTGGTCTTGAACTCTGACACAATCCCATAGATACCTAGAAACTTTAAGAAACAAACTACTTCAAGTTCATCATTCTTACTCTTTGAGATCTTTTCTCTCCAGTAAACAGCAAGTTTCTTCGCATCTCCTTTCACCGGGTTTCCGATTTGAGGTGGGAGCTTCTTCAAATGGTCCAACAATAAGTTGCAGCTATCTGAAGTAACCAGCAGCTTGAACTGGTGGCCTTCTTCGGTGTTTATAGGAGACAGAGACATGGATGTGTCTAGAACTAGCTTTGCTGGATCTGATGTGCTTCTGAAAGCATTTGAGAGATCATCACGCTCTAGAGGTTTCTTTTCTAGTAAAGCCCTTAACATGTCAGCAGCGTTGATGGAGCCAGAGAGATTGTTTGGTTTAGTTTCAGTGCTTGATGGATGAGTTGATTTAGCATCTGGCTGATGATTTTCTCCTGATTCGACAATCTTCTCCACTGAATTAAGTAACAAAACACACATGTTCTGGTTAAAGTGATGTCTCCAAACAAAACATCATAAAGTAAGTTATAAAGCTTATGAATCAACTTACCTGTTAAACTCTGTGAAGGAGTGATCGGTTCAGTTAGTCTTTGTCGTTTGGCTTCACGCTGCTTCTGTTCATTAGGAATGACAGATTCAGCTTTAAGCTTCTCTACAGAACTGGTTGTGGTCTGTCTTCTCTCAGTACTTTTAAGAGCTGGTTCCATTGCTCTATTTACTAATTTACCGTTCTTAAGTACACTCAGCTTATTAAGAATCTTAGGAGGGAACATATGCTCAGCTTTCCTCTTTTGGATGCACTCAAGTGCCATGGTTGCATCAGCTTTTATCTTCTCCCTCTTTGCTTTCTACAACAAGTCAACAAGCTTAACAACCTTACACATAATAAGCCATAGAGACAGTGTGTGGGTTTAGCTTACATATGCCTCCATTGAGTTTCCAGCCTCATACATTACTCGAGCAGCTCTTTCTGAGGAAACCAAGTAGTCTTGCAAAAGGTCTCCTGGTTTCCCTTTTGGACACAGCTTGTATAACCTGAACTCACAGATGAATCTCAGTACTGCTAAGTACTCTTCCTTTATCTTTAGAGTTTCAACCACACCTGCAATAGCAAAAATATTCACATAAGGGCAACAAACTATTAACTCTACAAAACAAGAGACTAGTCAAGTAAGCATTACTTACCAGAAACATTATCTGCTAACCGCAGAAGCCGAAACAGTCCCGGAGCCTGATCATAGAGTAGGATGCGCTCTAAAAGGCTCAAGAGCACCTCGCGAGTAGTCACAGAAGCCAAACCATAAGCAGCTAGAAACAACAAGAAGCATAACACCAACGATTCATTGTTTGGAATTGTTTTCACCTTGTCTATCCACTCAATTCCAAGTTGAGTCGCTTCCTGATTAACCTCCCTTGTGATCTCCAGATTCATCTCTATCATTGTCTCCAACAAAACTATGCAACTCTCAACAACACTATCATTTAAATCTTTAAAAGATCCTTGTACAGCGTCCAAAACAAGCTTTGCTGGGTCCAAACACGGAATCAGTCTCGCCAAGGCATGGTTTCTCTTAACCAAATCGTTTGAGCAGCCTATGTCTTGAGCCAGGAGTGAAACCAGTGGCTCGAACTGACCATGCCTCAGATCTCTCTGTTGCTGTAGTTCCTTCTCCATGGACTCCATTCTCTTTGTGAAACCTTCAAACTCTGCATTCCTTCTCTCCATAGCTTCCTTGCATTCCGAGTGAAACATCAGCTCCATCTTCTCAAACTCATCCACTTTGGCTTTGAACGAGTCATGAAGCGAAGAAAGCTCCTTCTCCTTGTTCTCTAGCTCCAAGGAACGGTCGTTGAGTGATTCCTCCAGTGCTTTTAGCTCTTTCACCTTCTCTTCGACAAGGCTTTTCGTGGAATCGAAATGCCCTTCGATCTCCTTCCATTGAAGGGAGAGGAGAAGAAGGGAGTGAGCTTTGTCCTGGAGAGAATCTAGGGTTCCGTGGAAGTTGTGCTTGCTTAGATCAACAAGGGCTAGATTACTTGTTGCCTTCTCAATCAAGTCACCCATTTTAAAAACAAAACCCACAGAAACGAAACCTAAAAATTCTCACAAGACGAACTTGATATGAATCGTCAGGTCACGTCTTTTTTCTAACTGCTCTTGGTGTCTGAATGTGCTAGAATAATATATTTGTTTGGATTTCCAAAATCAATTACTAGTATTTTGAACAAAAAAAAAATCAATTAGTCATATTTCCAAAATTAATGATCACTAGATTCTAACCCGTCCTAAAGGTCGGAAATTATTTTGTCAAATTTTAGTTTTAATATATGTCATATATAATATGTGTATGTAATTTTTTTTTTTTTGTAATATATAATATGTTGAACCTCTTATTAATCTTTGTATTGAAAATACGTTATAAATGAGTTGAACATTTTTTCTCTTATAGTTCAGTTTTGTACAATCTATTTATATTAAGAGATAACCAAAAATATTCTAAAGATGTAATTAGTTAAATTCAATTGATCTACATCGACTAAGATTTGGTTTAATTTAAGTTGGTAGGTTGTATTTTATATGAGACATAATATATTCTAGTAATAATTATGAAAGACTCCAAATTTAAATGACAATTTTAAGTAGTAGATAAAAATCAATCCCTAAATTAATAGAGTAGATGTGTAATTAATTAATTTTGTTGACTTAGAGTAATTAAATAGTAACAATTATGACACAAAAGGATTTTCTCTGATTACAAATATAAGTTTGCTCAGAGAAATTTGTAGAGGTGTCTTCAAAGTTCAAACTCCACATCACTTTAGCTAAATCATGTCCCCACTTGTCCAGTTATGACGCAAGGATTTTCTCTGTTTATGTTTTTTTTTTTTTTTTTTTGCAAAAGAGAGATTAGGAGAGACCATGGAGCTACTAATCGACTATCAAGACCAAAAGACAAAGTTGTTTATTGCTAGCTAGCTTCCTACTACTTAGCTAGCTAGCTTTTAACTTGAGACACCAGCACTAGAATCTCCCAGACCCGGATGGTGGACTCTAGTCACCAGTCTAGAACCCTCAGGATCTATCCTTGGACGTTTAGAACCAGCTTGCTGTGAAGATTGACCTTGGAACGCAGTTGAACCACCAGCTTGATACGCTTCTACATTATTAACAGGTTGATCTTGATACATTTCTGCGTCTATAGCCGGTTGAGTTGGTGACGAACCAAAGCTTGTTGGAAGGCTGGGGTCTAAGCCATGAGTGGCAATGCATGAGCTTTGAATGTCTGTTTCTGAAGCCTGCATATGGGTTGATTGAGCTGGAACAGATGATGTTGAGGCAATTTCTCGAGGAACCATGAACTTGAGGATAATAGCCACAGGAATGTCAATTTCCAGCTGGAAGTCTTCAATGAGTTCAATCATCTCCCTCAGTGTAGCACCATCTCTGTTAGCTTCTTCAGCCTATAAGCCACAACATAGGTTACAAAGTTAACCATCAATGACAATATACAGTTTGAAAGGAAAGGAGCAAGCTATATAACCTGTGATTCATATCTTCTCTTTTCCTTGGCTGAGCAGCTGAGACTGATGATCTGTTCCTTCAACAACTCCAGTGGAGAAAATCTCTTCTCCACGTTGAAGTAAAACATGAAACGGATTGCAGGAATGTAGATGGCTTTGTCTAGGAGCTGTGTGACAAAACCTGCAGAGATAAAAAAGGGTATATCATAATCGTTAGTGTTACTTACACACACACACAAAGGCAACAAATGTGTTGTAGAATAATTACAACTTACTTGGAATGGCATCACTGAGACCAAGAGATTGAAAGAGTTTCGGCGCATGTTTGAAGTGAGCAACATACGAAGCAAGTTTCAAAGTTTCATCTCGTTTAGTTCGTTTCACCAATCCAAACGCCACAATGAACTGCAGAAAAGCCCAGACCTCACGCTGTGACTTTGCAACACTACTAGCTCCCATCATCTTGACCCACCGATGTGCCACTTTAGTAGCATCATTCTGTAGACCAGGATTAGTAGGGATACCAACACGTGCCAGCTCTTCCAAAAGGGGAACCAAAGGCATTAGTATAGGCTCTTTTAAACTCAATTCCCCTCTCAGACGAGCATCCGTGAGTGCATCCTCGACAGCATTTAGAACAAACCTGCCTGGAGATTTGAACACTGGAAGTTTAGTAAAGACTTCATTCGGCGAAAAAGAAGTTGAGCCATCAAAGTCCCTAAGAGTATCTTCATTAGGCAAGTCAGATGATGTTATGTTTTGTTGGACATCTGATGAGCGAGAATCCACACTATTGCTCATCGGTGCTTCAGGGAGCTGCTCTTTAGGCTTATCTTCCAATGATAGCACATTGTTGACTGCATGAACAACTTCAATAAGCATCACAAGACTATAATAGAACTCAAATGATATTTTTGAATGTCTAAAGTCTTGGTATTGTTTTGCTTGTAGCAGAATCAGGTATCAGAATATATGGGATCAGGTTTAAGAATAATTTGAACGGTAACACACAAAAAAAATCAGTAAAGGTATCTTAATGTTACTACAGACACGTTGATTTTTCAGAGAAAACATACCAAGTGCTAGCACAATATCGACTGCAAAAAAATTCAATAAGCAAAACACTATCAAGCTCTATTTTTATCTTGATATATAAATTATATGGGACCAGGTTTGAAGTTGAAGAACAATTTAAGTTTAACGGCAACACACACAATCAGGAAAAGTATCTTCATGTTACTAGACGTTATTGAGAATAACATACCAGGTGCTAGAGCTGATACTCCAAGAGCATTGCATAGACTTGGACCATATTTGCGAAGAAAGGCCACATCAAAAAGATTCTGGTCTTTGTCAGCATCAAAAGTGTATGCCAAACTGAATGCAGCAAGAAAATGTAGAAACTCCAACACCTCCACTGGATTCTCTGCGTTAACCAGACTTGTGTTCTTCCATTCAGTGGCAAACTTGATAGCTTCTCCTTGTACTTGAGTTTGAGTTTTTGGTTTTGGTGACATATCAATCAAGCATTCAAGCAAGAAGATACTACTCCTTTGAACACTCTTTGGATCAAGATTTTTAAGTGCCGTCCTTTGATGAGCAGAGTAGAGCCCATTTATTGTGTCTAACACAAGCTTTGCCGGGTCAGAAGATCTTTTAACAGAAAACAGGACATCAAGGTGAAGCTGATCACGTTTCTTCAGATGCCCACGTAAGAGTAACTGCAAAGTTTTCTCGTCGCATACGTTAGCGTTTCGTACCAAGTCAACTCGTTGAACCGTGTTGCCTTGTTTCTTAGATTTCGGCTCAGTTTTCTTAGAGGATTTTGCCAACTTCAGTGCTGCTGATTTCAGTTGCTGAGCCTTATTATCAATCCTTTCCTCACGAGCACTAATCTCTTTCTCTTTCAGTTCAAGCCCTTGCTCACGTTCCATCAATGATGCTCTTAACCTGGCTTGTTCCTCCTCTTTAGATTGGAAGTCTTTTAAGCTGTCTTGAATCTTTTGCTTGACGAAGTTAAGCTCAGCAATATGGTCAAGAATTGAGCTTTGAACCTGATCATGGTGTTTCCTCTTGGCCTTCAACTCACCGCTGATTGAAGAAACCTCTTCTTGTTTCGACCTGAGCTGGCTGTTAAGTTCCTCACTGGAGCTATTCAAATACTGCATTCTCTTCTCTCCTTCCTCGACTTGTTCCTTTATCTCACTGAGTATTGATTGTACAGAGCGAAGCTCTTTTTTCTTTGACTTATGCTTAGCAATGCATCTTTCCAGATGTCTTGTCGTCGAATCCAGTTTTTTCTCTGTCCAATCAACTTCGTTCTCTGCTGAATCTTGTTTCTTAGAGAGCTTTTTAATAAACAACTTGAGTGACTCACAATGCGCACTCCTTTCCTTAATTAGCGTCTGAACGTTCTCCAACTCCTTGGCTTTTGATTCCATCTGTTGGCAAGTCTCCTCCATGTCATCGTTTAGAGATATGACCGTTTGTTCCCTCAAGTCAATCTCCAGACTAAGTTCTTGCAACTCTTTCTCTTTGGTGACAAGCTCAGATGACTGTGTCTCAAGCAGCTTCTGCTGGGAATCTAATTGCTCTTCCATCGATTCTAGCTGCCTCCCACATCCTGCAATTTTATCAAGAACCATTGTAAGATCCTTCCTCTTTCTCTCTATCTCCTCTTCCAATTCTCTACTGTGAGATTGAGTCCTTACCCAAAGCTCCTTTTCTGCAATGACCTTAGCATGATGCATCTGAAAATCAGCTTCCATCTCTCCTAACTGTTCTTGCTTGCATTCAAGCTCACCCTGAGTCTTTATCAGTTTCGAGGAGCTTGTCATAACCAGCTTCTCACATTCCAAAAGCTTCGTCCGAACCAAGTAGAGACCTTTTGTCTTCCTCTCAACTTCCTCAACCAACTGTCTCATATGAGTTTGAGCTCCACGCAAACTCTCCATCTCTGCGCTAACCTTAACACAATGCCTCTCAAGATCGATTTCCATCTGTCTAAAATCTTCTCGCTTACGTTCAAGCTCATCCTGCATCTTAAACAGTTCTGAGGAGCTTGTCTCAAGCAGCTGCTCACATTCCGCAAGCTTGTTCTGAACCGATGTCAGATCTTTTGTCTTCCTCTCAACTTCTTCAACTAACTGTCTCATATGAGTTTGAGCTCCACGCAAACTCTCCATCTCTATCCTGACCTTAACACGATGCCTCTCAAGATTGATTTCCATCTGTCCTAAATGTTCTCGCTTACATTCAAGCTCATCCTGAATCTTAAACAGTTCTGAGGAGCTTGTCTCAAGCAGCTGCTCACATTCCGCAAGCTTGTTCTGAACCGATGTCAGATCTTTTGTCTTCCTCCCAACTTCCTCATCCAAATGTCTTCTGTAAGTTTGAGTTCTACTCAAACTCTCCATCTCTGTGCTGACATCACCACGGCATTTCTCAAGATCAGTTTCCATCTTTTCTAGCTCTTCACCTTTCAAACCAAGCTCACTCTGAGTCTTTATCAGTTCTGAGGAGCGTGTCTCAAACAGCTTCTCACATTCCCCAAGCTTGTTCTGAACCAATGTGAGATCTTTCGTCTTTCTCTCAACTTCCTCATCCAACTGTATCCTTTGAGTTTGAGCTCTACTCAAACTCTCCATCTCTGCACTGACCTCATCACGGCATCTCTCAAGATCAGCTTCCATCTGACCTAACCCTTGTCGCTTACATTCAAGCTCATCCTGAATCTTAAACAGTTCTGAGGAGCTTGTCTCAAGCAGCTGCTCACATTCCGCAAGCTTGTTCTGAACCAATGTCAGATCTTTTGTCTTCCTCCCAACTTCCTCATCCAACTGTCTTCTGTGAGTTTGAGTTCTACTCAAACTCTCCATCTCTGTGCTGACATCACCACGGCATTTCTCAAGATCAGTCTCCATCTTTGCTAGCTCTTCACCTTTCAAACCAAGCTCAACATGAGTCTTTCTCACCATCTCACTAAGCTCACTTTCCTTTAACATTTTCTCTGCCTCACACTCCTCCACCAATGTCCTAAGATGAGACAGTCTCACATCCTCTGCATTAGACTTCGCCTCCAAATCAGCAAGCTTAGCTTCAGCTTCTTCAACCACTTTAGCCCTTTCCTCAAGTGCAAAGCTTTGACCTTTCAACTCCCTTAACCTCTCCTCTACTTTACCATTGACTGATTCAAGATACTCATTCAAGTCTTTCCACTGAACATTGAAGACAAGTATGTCGGAAACATGAGCGTTAACCTTGTCCAACGCGTTACGAAGAGACTCACCCCTCACCCTAACCTCATTCAACACGTTCTCCATCTTAATCTCCTCCATCGCCAACCCTTTCTTCAAACCCACGGAAAGAGTTTCCAAAACCGGCAAAATCTTTCAAAGAACCGAACAAACCCTTGAAGCCAAATCTCAGCCAAAGCTCCGAACTTTAGAAAAGAGAGAAGCAGAAGCAACAAAAACCCTGAAACAACCGTAGAAAACAGAGAAGGTCTAATGAAAATGAGTTAAAAAGGAAACAACTTTAGTCGGAAAAAAAAAACGAGCTTTGAAACAACAACGGGAAGAGAGAGATTGTATCAAACAGTAAAGCTTCTGAAAAGAGGAAAAAAAAAGAAAGAACCTTTGTAAAGAGAGAGATTGTGTCTTCTCTTCTTCCTTCTCTTACAATTTTTGACAGAGACAAAGTAATTATCTTCTCTTTCTTCTTACACGTTCAGATTTTAAAATAACAAAAAAAAAATATATTAGAGAAAGTGTAATGTGTACCAGCTAAACCGAACAATCTTCTGCTTTTAATTACTCGGTTCGATTTCTACTAAACCGAAATGACAAAGAATAAATCAACTTTATTCATCGACTAAACCAGAAGCAGTTAATTAATTCTAGAGTGATTTAGTGAACTACCCATATTTGAAGCTCAAATTAGCAAAATACCATTGATTGGACATGAAGGACACTGACACAACCATTTGGCAAGGAAATGACGAGAATGTCCTTTCTCTTTCCTCTCATTAACACGGAGCGTAAAGACATTTGTTAACATATAACACTTCTGTTAACGTCTACAATATTTGTTAACAGCCAACACATTTATTACCGCGAAGCGTAAAAATAATTGTCAACAGTTAACACTTCTGTTAACGTCTACAATATTTGTTAACAGCGAACACATTTATTAACGCGAAGCGTAAAAATAATTGTTAACAACTAACACTTCTGTTAACGTCTACAATATTTGTTAACCGCTAACACGACGTCCAATCTAAAACCCAGAAAATTGATATCATCAAAAAATTGAGGATTCAAAGCCACTTATGAAAAAAATAATGAAATTTAAAATTTAATTGTATATAGAATGATAGAGATTTGTAAAATAATTAGGGATTGGAGAGAAAAAAAAGGTCAAAATTGAGGATTCAAAGCCACTTATGAAAAAATAATGAAATTTAAAATTTAATTGTATATAGAATGATAGAGATTTGTAAAATAATTAGGGATTGAAGAGANGCCACTTATGAAAAAAATAATGAAATTTAAAATTTAATTGTATATAGAATGATAGAGATTTGTAAAATAATTAGGGATTGGAGAGAAAAAAAAGGTCAAAATTGAGGATTCAAAGCCACTTATGAAAAAATAATGAAATTTAAAATTTAATTGTATATAGAATGATAGAGATTTGTAAAATAATTAGGGATTGAAGAGAAAAAAAAAGAGGAGAGATGTCAAAGAGAGGAGAGAGAGTGTAGAGAAGGGCAAAATGGTCCAAAGGAAAGTGATTGTCACATCATGGGCAATTCTCTAATTATAGGTGCCAAATAGGACACTTTAGCCAATTATCTCTTAATTCTATTTGGGTCTGGACATAGTCTAGACCGCACTGATGCCTGCGTGTTTTAAGGTAGGTCAGCAGTAAAAAAAAAAAAATATATATATATATATATATATATCCCCTATATATTATTTGAGAATCATTTAAAAAGTTGTAACCTTAAGTTTGTAAGAATTAAAAATAACCCCAATCCTACGTGGCATAGCTCTTTAGCTTCTATTTCAAATCCCAAGGATTCTAGAACATGTGATATAATGTATAGTTTAAAAGTTATATTCTCTAGCAATATAATATTCCGTAGGCTATAGTTGGTCGCATATATCAAATATTTATTGTTTCGCATGCTTTCCTTAAATAAATCCTACGGAATTACCTAATGTGATCAAAATATATATATGACAATTAGTGATTTTAAACACTAAAGATTTGATAACAATCTGTATACTTTTCTTCATTTTGTTTATTTCTTTATTATTAAAATAAATTACACAATTACATTAATCATATAATAAAAATCTAGATTTTTTTTTGTGTATGTTGTATTTCGAATTTTTCAAAATGAGTATAAATTACTAAAACTGTTAAAAGTCCCACATAAACTTTTAAGATCAAGGTTTTAATTTTTTTAATACTAAAATATAATGATTATAAGACCATATGAAGAAATAATTTTAGTTTATATATATTTAATATCATTTTAATTAAACTATACATCATATAAAAATACATACTTATATTTTGATATTTGCCTTGAACATATATTGAAAAGTTAATATTTTAAGTTTGAAATATGTCTTTGTTTTTTTAAATGATTATAAATTATTGAAACTACTAAACATCTCACATTAAAAAAAATTCGTTTGTGTAAAGTTTTGTTACACAAATATGCAAATAATCATAAAATCATATGAGTAGAAACCTCATTTAATAAATATCCATATTAAAAGTGTGTTATAATACTATGATTATATCATTTAAATTTAATTATATATCATATACAATATATAAGATTGATTATTTTGATTTATTTACCCTAATTGTGAATAAACAAGAGTAATAGTTAAATTTATATGCATACGCCAATTTATTACATAATAGTAACAGATTTCTTAGTTATTTAATATATATTTATTATTTTATTATTTATAATATGCAGAAAAATATAAAATAAATAATAAATATAAAATATTTATTGTGCATAAAGTGCAGATCTTAACCTAAGTATGTATCTCTTTAATTATTTTAAATCTTAAGTATTTTCTAAAACAAACGAAATGAGAATAAAATTCAAAATAAATATTTATATCGAGTAATAACCAAAATATAAAAAAAACATAGCAAGAGAAAAATGGAAGATAAATAGGAGTGACACGTGAACGTGAACTTCTCATAACCATAATTAATTTTTAAATTGTTAAATCATGATATAAAACATAGTTAATTTTTAATTTTTTAAATCATTATGGTTATGTTAAATCATGACCATAATTAATTTTAAATTATTTATTTGTATTTGAAAAACTTAAAATATTGTTTTTAAAAATAATTTAAAATTTAACATAATTTTTTATAAATTATTTTTAAAAATGATAATTTGTAAAAAAATATAATTTTCTAATATTATTAGACAGATAATAAATTATATTAAATTCGTTTTGAAACTTTATATATTTTAAATGCAAATATTTTACCAATTGCTTCTTAAAAAACATTAGGGAACTTACTAATACTCTACCAATCAAGCACAGTGACACTCCATTTATTTTTCATCACTCGAACACTGAAAAATGAAAAGATATATGAAATCAGATCCATTAAATTCTAAGATTTGATCTACATTTCTAATTAAAATTGTTTCTGATCCTACGTATAGATAATTATATAAAATTTTCAAAATTCGTAAATTTCAAATACATACAAAAACAATCATATGTAAATTTTAAATTTGTCAATACTAAATGTTTATATTTTAATTACATATATTCACCCTGCGCAAAGCGCAGGTCTTATCCTAGTCTATATTATTAAAACAGAAACATCACCACTTCTCATATGTAAGATTTTTTAAGTTGGACCTCACATTATTAATGTAATATTATATATTTAATTAGTCTAATTATGATATGATATTTTGCGGATATTATTCTTTAGCAAGTTACTGATATTTCGATATCTTATAATTAATATGAAAATAATGATACTTCACGTTAAGGAAATTAGTCATATCCTCATTCAACTATTAAATAACATTTAATTTAGATATAAACCTTCTTATTCTTTAGGAAAATTTCCAATCATGCTTTATCTTATTTTTTAAAGGTACAGTCAAAAACTAAAAAAATGGTTGTAAAATCTTTATTTCTAAAGCCACATCTTTTTTGTTATAGAAAATATGTTGCTGTATCAATAAATTTTAAAGGTACATCTTTTACAGCTAAATCAAAAAAATTTACAAATTAATTTCTACAGTAAAAATTTCACACCTACATATCAACCAAACATCCTCAAAGCTTAAGTTGTTTTGACTTTTTTTTTCTCGAAACAAAATCAAGACCCATGATTAGGTAACAAATGGAAGATGATTACGTTATTTTGATTTTATCCCCAGAAATTATTTTATTTGCTATCCCGCAATATTCGCATCTTTATTTACTTTTAGTTTTTGTTTTGATTAAATAACATATATGGATGCAGTTAGAAAAAGTGGTCGCTGATTATTAGGCAATATAAATGGTCGTTATATTGACAATATATATTTAAGTAGCAGTTATATTAGAAACATATGTATAGTTAATTTTTTTTGTTGGACTGAACTTTTATTAATTGGTCATGCAGCTGTTTTAATAGAATAGATTATATATCAAGGTAGGCACTTGAAGGCAAACCGAAAATATATCATTAACCCTTTGTCTCTCTTTAAACATTGCAGGGACTAAACTCCATCACAAGAAGAAAGACTAGCTCTTATGTTCATTGCTAAAGATAGACCAAATCTCAAGTACGGATTTTAGGGATAAAGACTTAATGTCTCAGCCTTTGTCACAGGCCAGAAAAAAAAAAGGACACTTGCAAGAACACAAAGAAATGCTTCAACCTCCCATCATACACAAGCTCCAAGACTCAAAGCTTATGTCTACTTCGAATTCCAATACTCCGAGCTGGTGGTAGGAACCATTTCGTGTAGAATTTGATCACATCGTCCTTACTTATATCTTTCATGCAATTTTTAACAGACATCTCGAAATCATTGGGTCTGTTCAACAATAAATGAGAAGTTAATAATCAGAGCTATTGACAAAATTTTTTTTATGGAAAACTGACCTATCCTCCTCAGAAAGCTGTTCCCACAAAGATTCCACTTCTCCAGAAAATTGGATGTCTGCCTTGTGTTTTTCAAAAACAGAAGAATCGACACTTTCCAAAAAGAGACGTACGCTCCTCACATACTCTTCTATATTCGCCAACAGAACCTCAGGGTTGTAATCACAGGACACTACGCAGAAGGAATAAATTCCCTTGCCCTCGTCATCAGTTTGAGCAGAAATTGTATAACCAAGATTCTTTTGATACCTGAAAAATAAGACTCAGAAAGCTTAACACAGGCACTATAAACAGTTTCAACTAGAAAGCTTAACACAGGCATTACCTGCAGCCTTCTCTAATTTCAAATCGATCGACCATGCTGATTTTCCAGTAGAATCAGATCACGACAAGCTTTCCTTTGTTTC